AAAAGGCTCAGATCCATTCAATTAGAAATGAAAAAGGTGAAGTCACAACAGATCCAGCAGAAATCCAGAGGATCATTAATACCTACTTTGAGAACCTACACTCTAATAAAATGGAAAACACAGAAGAAATGGACAGATTTTTATAACTTTTTTTGTTCGTGGAATGCCAGAAAAGGTCCAGCTTCTCCTTGCTGGCCTCTGTTCTCTGTCATTAAGAATTGGATTACGGATTTCATGCAGACCTGTTTTTTTCAGACCTGTGACACACTAGCTTCACTCTGAGTCAGACAATGTAGGGCCCAGAGGGCTGAGCCCCCAGGACCTTCTGATCTAACTGCCCTTCTGAGCTGTTCTTTCATCCCACAGTAAGGAAGGGGTAAACCTTGTTACCAGCAGGGACCAGTCAGGATCACTTTGAAACAGGGAACATTATTAAGGGAACAGCCACATTATCTCAGCTTGCCAAAGGGACTTCAAAGGGACAGATATGTCAAGTTACCAACAAATCAATCCATATTTTTGCATTGCAAAATAGCTTCATTTTTTATTGAGAACCTATTTTACTGTTATTATACAAATTTCAGACAACACAAAATGCACAATTAGTAGAGCTCAGATTTGAATCCAAGCAGCCAAGCTCTAGAATCCATCATCTATAGTCTGTAGTAAGTAATGCCCCTTGCATCTCTCCTGAATATAAAAAGAACCCAATAAGCTCCTATGAGAATCCCAGCCTAGTGAAACACAGAAGAAATAAGTTCCTAGAGCCTGAGAGCCTAGCACCAAAAAACTGCCTTAGAATCTTAAGATGAGTAGAGTAATGATAATAGTCAGCATGTTTATTAAGTAGAAGACATTATATCAAGTAATGTGTGTTTTCCCAAACATGTGAGTTTGTGTATAAGTGATCTTGCTTAATCTTCTAATAGCCTGTCAGTTACAACTTACTCTCATCATTTTACAGGTGTGACATCTGGGGCTCAGAAGTTTACACAATTTTTTAGAGTCACAAAACTAATTCAGCATGTTAAAATTAAGATTTCAGTCTCTTTGTGACCAGATTCCCAACTGTTAATATTAATTTATTGAATCTTGACAGGCAGGTATTATGAAAAAGAGAATAAAGAAAAATAGGAAAGAAAAAAAGCACATAAATAGGAAGGGAATAAAGCACAAACCATCATACTTACAGTGTGCAAGAGTGACTAAGCACCAGGTTGCTTGGGTGCCGATTCTAAATTAGCCATGGTGTGAGTAGACCAGTCCACATTATAGGTTTCTGCACCTATAAAATGAGCAGAGTGTATTAGGTTACTGGTTCTGAATCTTTCAGTGATCATGAGACACTCTCCAAAATTCAAATAACTCTCTCCCAAGAGGAAAACACAAGAACTTAGAAGGGAATAGTTTAACCAAAATAAAAGCAAGGCCAAGTGTGATGACACAGCACTACTATAATCCCTCAGGATGCTGAGGCAGGATTATAGTGAATTCCAGACCAACCTGAGCTCCACCTTGAGAAACTTTCTACTAAAAAATAAATAAATAATAACAAAGATTTGCTGTATGGTAAATGGAATCCTAGGAGAAGAGAGAATGCAGAAAGAAAAGGAAATGACAGCCCCAAATTGCAAAATTTAGTAAAAGATAAAAACATACATACTCAAGATACTAAATCAATTCCAAGCACACACAAAAAAATTCACAGACAAGCAACCATAGATCCATATTAGGCAAACTGTTAAAATCTATGCATAAAATATTGAAAGGCAAGAGAAACAACACAAAGGGCAAACAATCAAAATGCCCAGAGTTCACAAAAAAAGTCATAAGGAATCAAAATGAAATAAAAAGAACTTCTGATTATAAGAAAATGAAAAAAATGGAAAGGAAGCCTTTGTAAATAGGGAGGGGTGGAGGGGTTGAAGGGAGGACAGGAGAATGGGGAAAAAAATAAGAACCAAGATACATCATGTAAAGGTAAAATGATATTGTATGCCTAAAGTGTACCAATAAAATTAATTTTAAAAAAATAACTCCCTCCCTCGCCCAATGTGTACATGAACATAAGACATAAATCTGTGATCAATTCCTTAATGGCACCATATCATATATTTATTATCATCCCTTCCCAATGAAATGCAGTATCCATGAACTCAAGAGACTTGTGGATATTGTCTGTATCCTCAGCTACTAAAATACTAGGTACATCATAGATTAGCAAAATCTATCAGTTGAATGAATAAATTGATGAGAGCTTTTGGTCTCCTTGAAGTCAAATCATATTCCCAATTTAGAATCCCTAGATGAAATTATTCTAAAGTAATATTTGGTCCTGAAATGTCTAAGGTTGAACCAAATTAAAAAAAAAAAAAAACACTCCCCTGTTTTAACCAATAATCATGGCTCTTTTATGTGTTTCAACACAAACAAGTTAATTTTTTTCTTTACCAATTCGTCTAACAATGAGCATGTGTATGTGTGCTATCATACATGATGCTAATCTTTTAGTATGAATCCTGCTTATCTTTGACAGCTGTTACTTACCTCACTTCACATACATTTACCACATGATGAAACCCAGGAAAGTAGAAAAAAATGTTGCATTTCCTGCTTCTTTATAAACTGCCTGTAATGCAAGCAGAGACCATTTCTGTTTAAGATATGATTCAGTTGTATTTCTCCTTAAATTATATGATTAAAAATTTATCAGGAATTAACATAATTCCAAAATGCCTCCTAATGAGGTAGCAACTAAACAGATTATGATAGAATTTAATATAAATAAATCAGCATATCTAAATAATTGTTACAGTGAGAAATCCATGTACTCAACTACAACCAATGCTTTTTAAAAATGCACACTAGGAATAATCTTTGGCTTGGTTAAAATACAGAGTGGCTATTCCATTGTGTGATTTCTATATTCAATGGTAAGACATCATTAGCATTTATTCAACATTCCAGGTATCTTATGACATCGAATACCCTTTTTTAAGGCATAACGCATGATGAAGTTTTAAAAGCCTTTAGAGAGATCTATTGTATAAGACCCTCTTTATTAAAAAAAACATTTTAATTACTAAAATAAATAGAATTAACTTTTTTGAGTTAACTTGGCATGCTATAGCTATTGTGGTAACATTTCTGAAATATACTATAGAATATATTGTCTAACAAGTCTTACCTATTACTTAGCTATATTTATATTTGTGTGGAAAATGTATAACACATGAAATTTTTGTTGTATGCTTAAGACTATTCCAACCCCTTCATCATACAGTTTTAACATATGATTTTTCAAGGTGACTTCCCTTGGACTGCAGCTAACTGCCTTTCTTTTTCTCTAAAAGACAGATTCCAATAAAACAGGTTGAAGTAAAAATAAGATTAAAATATGACCACATAATTTCCTGTAAAAAGGGGAGAGCTAAGAGAAGTTCAGTCCATGTCTATGTCAGACAAATAACAGGGTAGACATTATATGATACTAGTATAATACTAGTAAATTTAGCACACATTCTCCTAAAGCACTCTTAATTCCTACTGTCTGCCATATTAGTTGTGATGTCCAAAGTTGGGAAGAAGTAAAAAGTTTTTTTGTCTTATTATATTGGCTGCATTTTTAAAGTAGTTTTCTTGTCCACCGATAGTTGGAGGAGTCCAAAATATGACAGAATTGGATAAAATAAATTAATATGTGAATATTAAATCCATTCCAATTCCTGGGAGGGGGTGTAAGAAAAGGAACAACTAAGATATAAGAAACACTGTGGACAATAACTTTAAATTAAAAACATTTATTCTTCAAATCGGTGAGATACTGAATAAAGACAAAAAGAGGGAAAAAAAAGAGAATTACCAAACTTTGCAGTCCTTTCCCTTAAATAGTTAATGAGTATGAAGTCATTCAGTCCTGGAGAATCCAGCCTAAGTGTATATTCTAGAAAATAGACCTTACCAACACACCACATAATTGTTCAAGGTCTTAAAACAATATTACCATCAGGTAGTCTTAATTGCTTATACTTTGGAAACTTTTAGAAGGAAGGAAATTATTACTTCATGAGTTTAAAAAATATTGAATTAAGATATAATTATAAAAATAAGAAAAACAGTATGGAGAAACTTGAAGCTCCTAGATATAAAGAAGATTGAGAATGTTTTGTTAACTTTAACTATTTGTTTTTCTCTTCTTATTAATGAGGTAATTTTAAACTCTAAATATTGGTAAATGTAAGTACTGCACCTATAGTATGCACATAATTTAATCATACATTTCCCAAGGAAATGCCATTTATAGTAGTTAGTACAGTTCAGATAGTGAAATTACTACCTACATTGGGTATGTGTTGCCAAGCATTTTGATAACCAGCGGCCTAGAATTTCTATCTCATCTTTATTCCTGATTCATTGATCTCCTTAAGTTAATTATTTTCTTTTTGAGCATAGTAGTAGTACAAATCATAAAATTAACAGAGAAGGAAGAAGAAAAAAATGAAGGAAATAAAAAAGCAGAATCATGAAATTCTGCTTTTAAGAGGTCATGTGTGGGAAGGCAGAGAAATTATGTGCATATGGTGATGTCCCTCTACATTATCTTATCTCTCAATATGATAAGAAACAGAAACAAAGGCCAGGTCTTTCGTTCATCAGTAGCCAGAAAAACAGCTCTAAAGGAGAGAAGGACACAACACCCTGGAGGGGAGGAGGATTTTTTTTTTAAATGATACTGCAAAGAAATAGAAAGTTTACAGATCAATGCATTTGCACTTTACATTAAAAAAAATTTCTCCAAAGTATCAGAGAAAGTAAAGGGGAGAGAAAAAAGGGTACTAAAACAAAAGAAATACAACAGACAAAAAATTAAATATATTTCTTCAAAGGAATTTAATAAGTAGTGAAATTATAAAGAGACACTCGAGAAAAAGGAAAAGGAAATAGAAATGTTTAAAAAGCATCGTTAATAATTATTTTCCGAATAGTCAAATGGTAAAAACTATAAAGAGGAAAAGAGCATCTCAAAACAATGAAACAGCAAAATAATCTCCAGTTTGAAATGGCCAAAGTGCATCAGAGAGCCTACCTCAGAGTACACTGAAAGGATGGCTTCAGGGTTTGCCTTCATTGTTCCAGCTCAGGGTTCTCAGGGTTTGCGTTAGTGCCCAAGATCATGATGGTCAAGGTCATAGGTTCCTCCCAGAGCAAGCCGGAATTGCCAATAAGCAGCAGAGTACATGAGAATCTTTCAGCAGCTTGCTAGGAAATCTGGTTTTCATGATCCCTCAGCAGGGATACTATTTCATTATCTGAGAAGAGGCCCTCGGATCCAGATTTTTAATTAGCACCTGGTGTGGCTGTGGAACAGGCGGCCCTTCAATCTGCCCTCACACAGCACTGCACTGGAAATTGCCCTAGTCATCTTTCTTGGCTCATTCACCGCCAAGAAGAATACGGAGAACATCAGGCATCTTGGTCTGTTCTCTCCCAAAAAGGAATGAGCACAAGCTCAGCTGTTCCATATTTGAGTAAATGAAACAATTTAAAGTATGTGCATACCTTTTCCCTGCCATGCATAGAAATTTTGCTTAATTCACCAGGATACTACCTTACCAGTTTCAAAGGAGTGCTTTGCTTTGAAAGCCACTATCTGATCATCTTTTCTTTTACTCTTTCTTGTTTACTTTTTTTTTTTTTTTTTTTTTTTTTTTTTTGAATTGTACCCAGGGCATTTTCACTGAGCTACATTCCTGGCCCTTTGTTAAATTGTTTTTGTTTTTGTTTTTGTTTTTGTTTTTTGGGGGGCAAATTCTTGCTCTTTTTGCCCAGGCTTGACTTGAGTATGAAATTCTTCTGCCTCAGGCTCCCAGAATGCTGGGATTATAGGTATACACCAATGGGGCAGACTCTGGTCACATTTTTTACATGCTTACATTTCTTACTTTAAAAACTTGGGTCAGCAGAGCCAGTGTAATAGAAATGAATAAAACTGATAATCAGAAACACTGTACTGCAGATGAGTAAGAACAACAAAAGAACAGGTAAAAACCAGAGTTCAAGTCCTCTGAAAGTATATATTTTAATGGAGAAATAAATGTATTTATATAAGTCACCATATGGGATCTAAAGTACATTCACTGGCTTGAATTGAATGAAACTGTTTTAGAACTAGGGCTTTAAAAGATACTGAAAGTAACAGTTAAGATCACACAGAGTAAAATCTGCCAGACCTCTGACTGAAGTTTACTCATCTGTGATACTTGTCTATCCCCATTGTCTTACTGCTTTGTGTCCCAGACCTGTCTAGTAAACTCCACTGAGGCACAGTGGGCTGTTCATACATGGTTTCATTTGTGCAAGTCTCCTTACACTGTTAACTGTTGATCAACGTCATGCCACCCCAGGCAAAAGTCTTGCTTTATTGACTTCGGTGGAACTTGTGATCAAAATTTTCCTTTTCAAAAGGCACTTCTATGAGTCACTTTGCACCTTTTAGTACTGTTAAATTATATTTTTTACTTCGTTTTAATTTACATTTTTAGGAATCAAAATGGTTTTATTTGCATTTTTTCATGTCTTTTCACTTGTAGAACTATAACAGTTTTGCTTTTACTGCCCCTCGTTCAGATGACAGAGTTTTTAAAAATTGGAAACAGGGCCTCACTAAATTGCCAAAGCTGGCTGAAGCAATTCTCTTGTCTCAGCCACTGTAAGAGCTGGGATTATGGGCATGCACCACCATATCAGGCTTGAATAACATATTTTTTAATGTAAAATAAAATATAAAACATTGATAGACTAATAAAATAGTTTTTTTATAGCCATGATTACCTATCTGAGCATTTCAGTCTGAATTTAATATGTATTGATAAATATCTTACATTGTTATTGGAGCTGTGGGTCACATTGATCATTTCTGAGAGAGTTCAAAGTTTACTTATACTATAATTATTCCTGGTATGTAAAATCATTTTCCACAATTTTCTCATGTCTAGTCCATACTAAATGCAGCAAATTTTTCAGGTAGCTCTATTGCTAAGTATTTCTCTACCTTTATCAGATTTTCTATCATAGTTTCAAGCCACCCTTGGCGCATTTTCTTCCTTAGAAAATAGAATTATATGTTTTAAAATGACTGGTTTAATTGGAAAATCTCATGAGTAATTCTCTGCCCTACCCACCCTTCTCCCACCCCAAGAATCTGTTAGGGTAATTATATACATAAAAGCATTGATCTTAACCCTCAAATCCTTCGGAAGCTTCTGCTCTATAAAATTATGTTTCCTGCTTTAGCTAGAAAAGAGATTTTCCCACTGAGTAGACTGTGTTTCAAGTTCCAAGCTCTCTGGTCTCTAGATATATGTCTGTGGCTGCTCACCTGGTAATTTTTGAAACTATAACTTCAATTTGACCTCTTGATTTCGCTCAGCTGTAATCTGTTTTTAATCAGTCTTTTTCACCCTCATCACTCTCATCCTACTGGTCCAAGTTTTTACTTTTAAATATCAAGCATCTTTTGTGACTCAGCCCAACTCCAACCTGCTACATTCAGACTGTCCTTCATGCTAACTGCCCCTCCCCACAACATCCATATCTGTGTTCCTAGCACCAAAATGCCTACTGTTTTTCTTACAGTTTGCTCTTCTAAACTTGGAGTTTTTTCTTCCTTGCTACTTTCCCAGTATTTCCCTGACAAATTTCTGACCATTCAAGTATTCGTAGCAGAAGCAGAGATGCACTAAAAATGTGTTTTCCAGGGGAAGAAAATGTAAATATTAACATTTAACTTTGAGAGTCCAACTTCAAAAGACAGACTGTTACATGTGGGTACATTTAGCTTATTTAATGCGCAAGTCTGGTTGTTTTGTTCACTTATTTTTAAATGAAAAATTAATTAAAATTACTAAAATTACTTTAAAATTACTAAAGTTAACTATTGATGTGATTTCAGGAGTTTTCTTATCCAATTTTTGTAAGAATTTTCATCAGAATAATATATGCTTTTATACTTATGGCTCAGTCTCAAAAAATTTGTTTGCAGCATAACCAAGAATCTTGTATGGGTATTTTTATACTATTAAATGTCAGATAAAATTGTTAGCTATCAGTCATGAGTTAGGTATTTTTCAAGTTTTCTAATTGTAAATGCACATATATATATATATATTATATTATATTACACACACACACACACATATATATATATATATAGAGAGAGAGAGAGCTTACTCTATACCTTATTTTTGAATAATATCTAGCCTGATCTATAGTTCATGCCAAAAAATCAGTGTCAACTTCCATTACACCCCTACAGTTTTCCTCTAGCTGTCTGCCAAAACACAAGGTGACCATAGAAATGAAGATGCCAATTCCAATGAAATAAACCACTCACAACCATGAAGAAGCAGACTGCACTCAAAATTAATGAAGAAAAGAAATCAATCACTTTGCTCACTAGTACTCTGCAGAATGCATTGGCTTTATTTTAAATATGTGTTTTAGATATAGAATTCTCTAGAAGCCAGGAGATATAATTTGATGAATTACTAATATACTAATATATATAGTAATATATTACTAATATAATATATGATTAGTATATAATATATATATACTAATATACAGGTGGAGTCATGGATTATATATTTACAACAGATAACACATGGAATTAAAAGTAAAGGTCAGTATGGATTGGTAGGAAATAAATTTTGAATAGGTAGAGACTTTTATACTCTTCCTGAAAGGATATCATTTTTTAAAAATCAGGGCCAACTCCTAAAGTCAAAAGGTCTGTTTCTGGAACATGAACACTCACACACAAGTTACACGATCACTTGGATTACTTATGTACATAAAGTATGGTATGTTTATACAAGAACATTTAGGAGAGAAGCCAAGCCAAGGCATCATAAATATGGGAAGAGGTAAGTGTAAGCACTTGTTAAAAGCCCTATGGAGGTCATAATAATATTTGTTGGAAAATATAAGAATAAAAAATAAATACCCTTAAATTTATGGATCTTTTATATGTTGTGTGAACATATATGTGTTCATGATTACACAATTCTCATCTTGGCTCAACATAGCTAATTGTCTTAACCTTTAGTAAACTTTAGAAATATGAAATTGAAATCACTTAGACGTCATTTTACAGATGAGGAAACAGTAAGATGAAGCAGCACATCTACTCTCACACAGATCATTGCTTCCTCAATTCCCATGACATTTTCTTGATGTCAAGAATGACTTTTGTGATTTTTCCCAGGGTGAAGGCCACATTTGCCTGTGATTTGCATATGTTCCTCTTGCCTGGAGTGCTAACGTTACAGTCCCACATCCTTGATGGCAAAATGCCGAAAGTCAGACAGCAGATCCTGCCACGTGTTGAGCTTTCAATGTGCCAGGCTATCTACTGAGCACTTGAATCACAGTGTCTCATTTCATCATTATAACAATCTCATACACTGGGTGTTGCTGTCTTTGTTCTACACATGAGAACAATAAACCTGACAAAATAAAGTGTCCTAGATAACAGAATACGTCAGTGATGGAAGTAAAGGTTTAAATGCATGTCCGTCTGAGCACTTTTTTTATGCTTTGTCTGTTACCAGATTCTATTACCAGGGTTAAAGAGGAGAGACCATCAAACAACAGTTACATCTTGTTCTTTGAGGAAACACCGATAGGAGCCAGCATCTCACTTCATGTCTGTTCTCAGCAGCATGATCGTGCTTTTCCAGTAGTAATAAATACATTCATGATGCAAAAAAGGGAAACACTCTAACAAAGACTCTCACAGTATAATCATCAGGATCAATTTTGCCAGAGCATATTTCAGTGGCCTCCTTCATCAACTTGATGGATGAAATAAAATATCCTGCCACAAAGTTCTAATAATTTTTAAAAAGACTTTACATCAAAATGGGAATTATCTAATTGAAATGACATATTCCTACTTTATATATTAAATATAGTCTAGCATGAGTTTGGCATCAAATTGTGAAACCCCAGAAGTTTAGGAAACATTTATTTTGAGTTTAAGTAATTTCTTTGACATGCCTTGATTTCCAGAATCCTTAAGAACTGGATTTCATTTTAATGAATAGTAAGTGTCAATTTTACACTGAACCTGGAAAGTAATGAAGAATAGGCAGGATCATATCAAAAAGTTATTTTGTTTTGGGTAGAAGTTAAGAATTTGAATTTACTGATATTCAAACTATACCCTGGAATATGGACAGGG